GATAGGCCCGAATTTATGTCGCCCCACGCGTTTCCACTTCTTTTCAACTTCTTCAACTATCGCCCAACTTTGCCGCTGGCTTTTTTCGACAATCATCGGTTTTATCCGTGTTTCGCTACTACGGCGCTTCGGCGCTTCGCCGCAGAGCTGATATCCTGCGAAAAAAACAATGGGTAACGAGGAAGCGCCGGCATATCTGGCGCAAACGGCTCGCGCGAGTTCAGCCAATCAATGTATAATCAGTAAGTTTGTAGCTCGGCGAATAATCGCCCGATTAGCAGTCGACGTGGACATTGGTCGGAGACGCGCGATCGCGATGTACAATGGGACGGAAGGGCTTTCGACCGACGAGAGACGGGCGAGACGCAGAGTGGCGAAAAGGTCGAAGTCGCGTCGCTCGGCCGCCAGGAGAAAGCGCGGCTCGTCTCGTCGGCTTGTTCGCAACGCGTAAAACTATGCGATTCCAGGGAGGCCGTTCATACGGCGTACGCGCAGCGCTACAGATATGCAGGCGCATACATACAATTCCGTGGCGGGCTCGCTTGGCTGTGTGGGCGCTGTCGGGTCTAGCCTGGGGCAGCCGCATCGCTCTGCGCAGCGCCTACCTCCTCCCGCGCCCGTGTGAGCGCGTGCGGCTCGACGTTCATAATTGTAACAGCGGCAAACTGAATGCGAGTCGTGCAGGGCGTTGCGGAGGGGCTGCGCAGGGGCTGCGGAGGGGTTGCGGAGGGGCCAGATTTGCACAGTGCCACAGGCAGAATATGACACAATAATGCACAATGCGCCCGCAGCCACGACCAGATCCGGCGACTGCTGACGCTTCATTATAGGCAAGCAAGTAACTGCGATTCCGATCGCGCGCAAAGGAATGTGGGGATTAATTAAAAAGCGATGGCACCACTGGTACAACGGCGGCGGCAGAAGCGCGGCAGCGTCGGCGCCAGCGGCGGGCCAAGTGCTATCTGGCAAGTAAGTTTGGACATTAATTCGATAAGTCGGAGGCGGGCTGGCAATCGCGCTGCGAACGCGCAACGCTGGCTGCTGCAAAGCGAGCGCAAGCGAGAGAGAGAGAGAGGGAGAGGGCACTTTTTATTCCGTACGTATGTCGGAGCTATATAGGTGGAAGGAAACGTGGAAGCCGTAAAGAGCAAGATTGTAGCCCGCAGCAGCAGGAGCAGCAGCAGCAGCAGCAGCAGCAGCAGCGGCTGCAGCGGCAGCCGCGTGGCGTGGCGTGGCGCGGCCAGCCTGGCAGACTGCTCGCTCGCTCGCGGAGACAAGAAAAAGTGCAATTATATCGTTACTCTTCTTTTATGCCATTCCCTCCAATCGCATCTAGTCTGGCCATTTATCGATCCTTCCTCCACCTCTCTCTCTCGCTCTCTCTCTCTCTCTCTCTCTCCCACCCGCTCTCGCTCTCTCTTCTTCTCGTTTTCTCGCGTTCTCGCGTTCTCGCGTTTTCGCGTCCTCGCGTCCGCGCGCGCGTCGCCCCAACTGCCAGCCATAGTCGCCGATTAGTCATCCTCGCTGCTAACGTCCTTATTCTATTTGCCGCCCCTCGCACTCTGCCCCTCGTCGCCAGCCAGTGCGCTCTCCTTTTATTTCTTTCCGATTCCATCTCCCGCACCAGCGCAGCCCGTCCTCGGCTCTCCTTTCTCCAGCTCCGCTCGTAAACTTCAACGGATCGCGTATAAACTGTAAGCCGCTCGCTCGCCTACGGTCATTCACTCGGCATCGAGACGGCGTAGGACAAATCGCGCGCGCTTAGTCATTAGCAGTCGGCGTGTCATATTCTCGCCGCGGTCGGCTCCGAAAGAATCGGAAGCGCAGAGTGGTTTACGCCGCGTTGTCGACTTCATATCCGAGAATCGATAGTTAAAAGTTTATTCGAGGAGAAAAACCGTGCGCTCTCACGCGCTCTCGCGCGCTCTCGGTGCATCTGCGAGCGAGCGGCAGATATTTTCTCTGGCGGAAAAGCAGAAATGCGCGTGGAGTTGGCGATGACAGCAGCAACGCCGGCGTTGGCGGCAGCAAAGTGGAGAGGGAGCAAGTGTCGGCGATGCCCTCCCACGCTTCCCGCAATCTCTCTTTTCCTCTTTGCCCGTAAATCGGCAATTTCGCGGTTTCGATACAGTTACCGGCGCGCGAGCCTGGATTACGCCCTGCATTATAAATCTGCCTGGCAATGAATTCAAATTGTGGACGTGTACTTTCATTGGGAAATTGCTTGCTCGGCTACTAGGCGCAGCTACACGCGGCGCGACAGCCTCCCCCCGCCCGATCCGCCCTCCAAAGCGGAAAGTATTCGCGAATCATGAAATTATTCTACACGTGCGCGCATTCCCCGCGCTGCACGGCCGCCTGCTTGCCTGCTCAATTATCAATGTATTTCCGCCCAGCCAATATTTAACAAAGCATCCAACACAACGTGCATTCTTTTTCCACGCACGGCAAACATTATTTTTTTAGCTGATCCGATAAAGAGTCGGGCTTTCCCATTTTATGAGATCAGCTTTGTTCTCTTCCAGGGGCCCAGTGCAACTGCAAAATATATATACCGTCAGCCGCGCTATGTCTACATTTTTTTTCGTCTAGCTCGAACATTAGTAGAACCGACAGGAGTTTCAGTGCTGGAAGTCTAGAGGAATCAAGAAATCAAGAGCGAGCGGCAAGTGCATTGCCGTACGTATAGCCCCTTACGTCTATTTTCGTCAACGGCCAATCACTTAGCTTGTCGAGAAAGAGGGTGCAGGGCACGTGGGCATCGACATGGAAACGTCGATGCGATTGAATGCCTTTTCGTGCTCGATGCGCCCGGCGGGGTTTTCTCAGTGTTGGCTTTTATCTCTAATAAAGTATGTAAAAGCCTTTTGCGAGCTCGTTGTCTCGATTGAAATTAGTAGTCTGCGAAGAAGAGAGAAGAGAGAGAGAGCGCGCGCGACGCTCGCTACAGTGAAATTGTGCGGGGACAATGTATCCATGCTGGCAGAAGGAGGCAAGCCAGTGCGGCAGCGGTGGTTTAATCGATCTCAGGGGAGCATTTAATAGGGCGACATCTTGCTCCCCCTTGGCAGAGAAGAGAGAGAGAGAGAGAGAGAGAGAGCGCGTGGGCCCATGCGGGTGCACAGATAAATGGCTCGCTTACGTAGCCAAGCCGGCAGTCCGCTCGCCCCCCCCCCTCCTCTCTCTTTCTCTTTCTCTCTTGCACACTAAATTTCCGTGTGAATTGGCCTTTAAACACCGAGTTTCAACGCTCGACTCGCCCCTTCTCTCGTTGGCTCGCGCGCTCGCACGCAAGATCCTTCTGTGGGCCCGGCGAGCCGCGGCTACTAGCAGCCAGTCGGGTAATTCATTCAAGTTTTAACGCTGCCCGACTAGCGCTCCCTCGCACTCGTTCATTTTTACGCTTTACACTGCCAACTAGCCAGCGCCTCGCGCAAAATTCATACACTCCACTCGCAGCCCAGTGCGCGCGCTTCATTTGCTCTCCTTTACGGCCCTCTCTCCCCAGTTGGCCTTCTTCTCGTCTCGTGCTGCTTCAGGCTGCACGACCAATTCCCCGATGTGAGAGCTCCCGCGCTCGTTTGCTTTTTATCAAAGCACCTCGGGCTCGCTGCGTCTCTTGCATCCCCGATCAGTCGTTGATCCGCTGATCGACGCGGCCGAGGCGTCCACGATGCTGCGAACGAGTCGCGCCGCGACGCTTGGAGGGAGGAAGCGAGCGGTAGCTTTCAAGGGCCTTCTCATTCGCGTCGAGAGCCTTCGGACCGAAGCTGCCGCGAAGCCCTACTTAATCTTACGTAAGCTCGCCAGAGTAATCTAATAACCGAGAGCAGCAAGTGCAGTGGCCAAGGGAAAACAAATAATCCGCCGGTCGAACAGCTAAGCCGAGCTGCCGGCTGACTGCTACGCAGGCTTGCATATCTGGCGCGCTCTAACGAGCCCTGCCATTTAATTATACTTTCTCAACTCGGCACTTTCTCTCTCGCTCGCTCGCACGGCGATCGATCAGCATCGCTGTTCTCGCTCGGACAGAGTCAGACGGAGTGCCAAAACTGCAAACGCCGAGAGCGGAGCGCGCTGCGTAGACCATTTAGAGGTGCTAATGCAGGCCGCTTTCCTTCGGCAGATTAAGCAGATGGCTTCTTGTCCTGCTCCTTATCCGCCCCAAGGCGCGCTCTCAATCTCAGCTGCCTCGACAGCGTGTCTTTGTCCCCGAGTCCCCGAACGTTACATCCTTCGTTCCGCACCTGCAAGCGCGCTCGCAGCTCTTTAACGCCGCCACCTTTCTCTACATCGACTCCGCTTTATCGCGTTAGTTTGCCAACATTCCTCATACGTGCCGAGATGCCAACGATGGCGTCCGGATTAGCAAAAATCCCGGCAAACTTGGAGCCGCAAATTCACGGCTGTTTTCACTTTTTTCGTGCGCACCACGCCACTCGTACTGGGCAATTCATTTGGCACTTTCGAAATGCACTTTCAAAGGCAAACTTCACCGATGGGCTTTTTATTTAAATGCAGGCAACTTTTAATTGGGCAACTTTCGGATGTTGCTGTCAATGCGCAGCGGCAGAGGGAGAGAGAGAGAGAGAGAGAGAGAGAGAGAGAGAGGGAATGGATGCAAACCGATTATCATTGCGAATGTAGCTGGCAGGGCTCCCGGCAGGCACGCAGGGCGCTGGGCTGGTTAGGATCGTCGGGCGGTCGCGCGGCCGCGGGCTGCATTGGGCCTGTCGCCGTACAAATTGGCGCGCTAACGAGCCGCGGCGGGCGCCGAGGAGCTCGCGGCGGGTCGCGACGAGAGCGGAGCTCCGAGGCGGCCGGAGCGGGCGCCGCCGGCCGAGTGGGCGAGTCGGCGGGGGCGAGGGGCGACGGATAAAGCGAGGGGGCGGAGAGCGAGCGCGCGCGCGGGCGTCGGGGTGGGGGTGCCGCGCGCCTCCGCCGAAATAAGGATTCTGCGCTCGCGGCCTGCAGCATCCCTCGCTCTGCTCGTCGGCCGATCAGCCGGCGTCGCTCGCGAGCAGTCGCGAGCTGGAAGTGGTCGCGCGCGGACAGAGTCGCGGGGTGCGATGTCGAGCGGCCGCGAGCGCGCGCCCGGTTAACCAGTGTGTGCACTGCGACCAGTCGACGGAGCGCCGAGCGGGGGACGCAGCGGCGACATGGACCTCGGCCCGGCCGGCCCGCTGCTGCTGCTGCTGCCAGCGCTGCTGCTGCTGCTCGTCGGCGGTAAGTCGAAAGCGCGCGCTACCGGCTCGCTCGCAGCCTTACCGATCCGCCCCGTCGCGGCTGTGCTTTGCCGAGCGCTCACCTCGTCTCGTTCCTCGCGGCCATTTTTCCCGCGCCGTTGGCCGACTCCCGAGGCCCTCGTCGAGCCTTGTCCAGCTGTCCAGTGTTGCCGCTCGGCGAAACGTCCCCTTCCCAGCTCGTGCCGCGAGGCTGACTGGCCAGCTTTCTCGAGTCCGTCCCTCCTTTCTTCGATCAGCTTCTCGTATTTCCGTCGCAGCCAATTACCCGCGCATCGTTAATCACTGCATCAGCCTCGAATTATCTGGCGGGCGCGCTCCAGCCGGCCACGCCGTCGCGCCACGCTTCCTCTCCTTGCGGCTCTCCGCTGCCGTTCGCTGTCGCCCCGCTAGATCCCGTCAGCAGGCGCAGCTCTCTCGCCACTTCTTGAGCACTGTTTGCGATGCGGAGATTGTGCCGCGCAGCGGATTAATTGGGGGATGAGCAGGGCGGGGCGAGCAGAGGCGCGGCCGGCACAAATTCGGCGGAAATCTAGATGAAGTAAATCACATTTGTGCGGATGAAAGGATCCGACTCGAGTTGGATTAAGTTGCAGGTGAGAGCTCGGCGGCAGCGGCAGGGCAGCACGCTCGCAAAAGGAAATGAAAAGACCAACGGTACTTTGTCAGAATTTATCGGGATACCGGGAGCGAGAGCTTTACGGCTATATACGTGCCCGCGTCCGCGGGGATCCCCAAATGGAGGCTGCTTCTTCTCGTCGTTTTCCAAAGGGGCTACTCCAGTTGGAGATTCTCGGCTGACAGCGAGGCGAACGATCACTGGGTCGGCCGGGCAAACAGCTGGAGCAGCAGCCTCTGCCGTCGCTCTCGGTGTCCGCGACTGGGTCGCAGCGAGACCGATCGCAGAGCGTGCATGGCTCGTCCGTGTCTCGTGCGGCGCTCTTCGCGGCCAGCTCGCGCTTGCACACGTGGTCTCCACGGTCCACCGAGACTCGCGGCTCGCGGCTTGTCCCGCGTGTCCTCTTATCGCTGCCCAACATTCCCGGCCGGATTTCGTCGCGTTAGCTCTTCGCTCTCCGCTCGAAGACGGCTTTACGACCGCCCGTCTACGAGTTAGGCCCGCGGCAGTTGGTGATTCGTGCGTGCATGCCGCGCCGGAAGAAGCTCGAGCGCTGGTGGTGGAACGACTCGCCCGTGTGCCGCGTCATTTGCTCGCCTGCCTTTGACGTCTCGCTTGACCACTGCCAAACTAATCCCATTTCGTTGCAATTGTTGTCGCCTCGTTCGCTTCCGCGAAATCGGGGCTCCGCTTCGACGTCGCAAAGAACTGCGAGCTTGCGATCCCGAGCATGCTTTCGCGCGAACAATTCGCAATTGCTGTATTCCTCGGCTGACGTACATCTGGCTTTCGAAAAAGCACAATGGCAACATTGCTGCCACGCAGCATTGTACAAACTTGTGGCGCAGAGTTGTTCTCCAAGTTGTTTCATCCGACGTGATGGCCGGAAACAGGCCTGATCATATTTTCACGCGGCAAGCGGACCCGGCTCTGGATCTCCCTCGGACTCCGAGAGGGCCGCGTGGCGCAAATACTCAATCAATGAGCGCGCTGATTTCACCTAGCCACTAACGACGTGAATCGAGTGAATAAGCTTCCGGCGAGGACGAGCTTTGATTGGCTTGGATTTGAGACAATATTTACTGTCGTCGGACTCATTCGCACGAGTGAGAATCGAAGGTGACGAACGTCACCTGCGTCGGTGGCCAGCGTTGAAGGAGATGCGCGAAAAGCTTGCAGAGTACTGCAGCCGGCGGTTGGAGAGTAATGGTGCAGGTAATGGTCGATGACTTGGTCGAGCGGTCCTGCGTCACGTCGGGAGAGAGATTGGCAAAATTAGCACAGAGGTTAACAAGAGAGAAAAGAAGGCCGGGTGGGAAGCGGCCTTTCTCCTGAAGTTGTCAGCCCGCTCGGAGCGCTATGTGCTTTATTTGGCTTTCCGACGGGTGGTTGTCGTGGCCGGTGCGCCGAAGATGGATTTTTCAGGGCGCGTCTCGTGTGCGCGGGCGCGGGCGCACGAGCTCAAGCGACAAGAATTAATAATGAAAAGTAATAGCGCGCGGCTCGTCAGCGAATTGTAAGAGCAAGCAGGGCAGCCAAGCGCGAGAAGCGCCACGTAAACGACGGCCGCGCGGACAGGCGGACGCGCGGCAGCGGGCGAAACGAGTCGAGAGTTTGCCCGCCACTCTCTCTCTCTCTCTCTCTCTCTCTCTCTCTTCCTCTCGCTCTTCAGCTTGCTTTCGGCTCTGCAGGCATCCGACGCGTGTCTTCGTGAGTGGATTTGCAAGTTGCGCAACAAAAGTTCGGATTTGGCACGTCTGCCGTGCGTATGCGCTTGCGTGCTGCATACACAGATGCCAAAGCTGCGTGGGCGCGCTCGTGCGCGCAGCGGAACAACTGGAACAATGAAACTATGCTCGGCTATGTGTCCAAAGAGCGAAAGAATCTACTATATATATATATATATATATATATATACACATAATTACAAAAATTTCTAGCGGCTTTTTCACACGGCTTTGAGCATCGCGTCGTCGACGTTTTGCCAGGTCAGCAAATGGCTGGAAAAGTTGTCGAATTATTTGTGAGTGGCGAGCTGAAGGAATGGGTAGAGTGGCTGCAGGCCTGCCATTCAAGCGACCGATCATTTAGATCGCAGCGACTGGATTTGCGACAGAAGACCTTTGCGCGAAGGGCCTGCAATTGATATCGGCGCGTGCATTTCCGTCCCTCTTCGCGGACGAACGCTAGACGTAGCGCATGAATTTTCAATGTCGAATAAATGCAATTATTCATACGCCAAGTCCGCAGCCGACTCGCACTAGACGCGCGACGCCGTTTAATCGATGAAATTAAACGATTATCCGCGCAGTTGAATAGTAGCAGACAGCAGCTGCAGAAGGCGCACACACAACGATGGCCGTGCAAATACAGCGATCGACCGGCGGCTCATCTAGAGCGCTAGACCGAAGCGTGGCCAGCGCTGGATTCCCGTGAATCGACGCGTACATCAGCCGCATGTGCGTGCGCGTGTAGATCGCCGCGCGCTGTGCGTAAATCGCCATGCTAGCGGAATTATATTTGTACGATCCACGGCAATCCCACGAGGCGGCGGCGGCGGCGGCGGCGGCGGCGGGCCAAGAAAGCTCCATCGAGTGAGGCCAGTGCCAACGCAATCTGCCTGATTCGCGCGATTCGTTCGCAACCGTGCTAAATGCTCGTGTTATCGAAAGTCCAAGTTGCCCTTCGTTGGTTTGCTTTGAGCCATGGAAGCGCGGCGGGCAGCACAGCCCAGTCGGAACTCTCGCGGAGAAAGAGGCAGCGCTAACCTGGTGAGCTGCACTAAGTTGACTTATAGTTCGTGGCTTGGATGCGCGAGCGTGCTCAAATTCCAGTCAGCTCGCCAGCGCTGCCGAACATTTAGAGACGAGCGAGCCGCCGAACAGCGAGCAGCGGCGAGACGAGGGGGCGCTTTCGGGCCGATGAAGCAGCAGGCAGAAGCGACCCGAAAGCCGGAAGAAAAGGTCGGCGCGTGGTAATGGGAAACGAATTCGCGTTTCCCGGGGATTTCTTTATTCATCGCTCTCGCAAATTGTCCGTCCCGAGGGGCCGGCGCTACTGCCTCGACGGCAGGTCTGTCTTGCCGCGCGCTGCTCATTAGCGCGCCTGCGGAGAAGCTCCCTCCGCTCGCGAGTCGCCATCGCCAGCAGTCAAGATCGCCATTGATTTTTCGGGCAGAGGCACGCGCCCGAGCCAAGCCACCTTCGATTCGGCCCGACCGACTCGGTCTGAGAAACGGCTGCGAGCCGGCGCTCGACTGGAATCGCCTCGTTGCAATCAGCGGTGCCTCGAATAACTAACAAGAATGCTGGAGAGGTCGCAGTCGGAGCTTTGGCAGCGCGCGTGAATAATGAAACTTGATAAAAGCCGCAGAGCGGTGCGGCGATGAAGAGAGGCCGAGAGACTAGGAATGGCAATGAGTGCTGAGGGCAAGGATATTTGAACGAGGGCGGGCTGCTTTACAAAACGGGGAAAGCGGTGCGGGAACCGCGACGAGGACGGAGTTACGGGCGCAGCGCTGGAGGCGGCGGGCTGCGGGCTAAATTATCGCGGTTATCGGCCAGAGTGAAATCCTCGTGGGCGCGCGACTGCGAAACCGTTTTCGGAGAGACTGCGAAATCCCTCTTTTATGAATGCGGCCAACGAGTAGGAAGAGCAGGGGCAGAGATAGTCTCGTTCCGCGCGAGGGAAGGAGTTACGTCGAGGGCCGGCCGACGCAGGAGCACAGCGCAGAGGCAGAGGCAATCAGACAAAGAGACAAAGGAATGAGCGTCAGCTTTCGCACTGATTAGCTACATTCTTTCCGCGAATAATCCGCGATTCGGATCCGCGGCGCGCAGCGCCGGCTCGATGGCCCCTCGGGCTACTGTTGATGAGCCTTCCTTCCCACTTCGTCTTACTCGCGAACAGACTTCATTTATTCCAAGCGCAGCCAGTCCCGCGAACTCGCACTGGTTTCGGTGTCGACCGGTCGTTGGTCGGAAGCTCAAAGTGCGAGCTTTCGCACGCATCCCCTTTCACGGCATCAATCGCTAATTTGACAAATAGCCGTTGCCGGCCCAAGTTGCCGACCGCCATTGCTGCACAGATTGTCGCGGACAGTAGAGCAGCAGCAGCAGGCAAAAGCGCGGCCCATTGAAAAAGCTCGGTTCCGAGTACTTTTTGAAAGCTTCAGTGCGACACTGCCGCTGCTGCTGTTTGAGTAAGCTCCATCAGTCGAAACTGCCTCTCGGCGGCTCTGCAAAATGTCGCGGGCAACCTTTTCGTCCGATGCTTTTGAATTTAATGGGCTTCCGCTAATTCTGTGTAACACCAAATTGTAACCATCGCGCGCGCTCGCTCGCATCGTTATGCTGCTCTCTCCC